GGCGTCACACACAAGCATTTTATAACTCTTCGACGCCTCTCCCACAATACAGAGAATAGGACCTCACTTTCAGTCGCTTGGATAAGAGCAGCGATTGCTTTGGATGAAAAAAGGATCATCCAAAAAAACTAGCACTCATTGGTGTGGCAGAAATCCCCAGTCCTGAGTGTCAAAGTGTTTTCAAGAAAGATGAGCATAACTTATTATCAAGCACACCAAATTCTAGATTACTTCACCGAGTACAAATTGACGGGAGTACTTCCACACGATACCTTTAAACTAGCTGGAGGTACAAACTGTCTGATGGTATCGACGCAAGGTAATAACTGTTAGTGAAGAATAGTTTCCAGCTTCTTTACCTACGGGCGCTTAAAAGTGTTGTGTTTCCGGCTAACTGCCTCAGCTCCAAGCCGCACCGGTTTCTGTCTCTCGCAAAATCATCCTTCCATCAGTTCGAAGTCAACGGAGAACCGTCAAGGGTGAATCTCGCAAATGGTCCAAAAGTTTTAGCCGATATTTAAGGGATAACTTTCAGCAGGACATCGAAGAAGTCATCTTCTGTCACCTCTGCCTAGAGGGTCCGATGGAATCCGAGTTGATACTAAATGAGCACATCAAGGAGCTCCACATGAGCGCCTACGCCGATCGCCTAAATCGTGTCAAAAAACGGGGCACCTTCGCATTAGCTGTGGATCCGATGCGAACCTGCTTCCAGTGCTACCGAGTTGTGGACTCCTTTATCGCACTTCAAGTGTGTGCTTTTATTTAAATTTTACTTTGAGCAGCAATCTACTTGTTCCAGAAGAACTTGAAACTTAGAGTGTCTTAAGTTACCTTAATTATGAATTATTTGGAGCCGAGAGCATTGCCACTTTGGCTAAAATGTTGAATCCACCATTACTTTTGACTCAATCTCCTTAACGACGCATGTACTGCTACGCCTAAATTAATGCATCTATCAGAACGAATCTTGATCCAACCTTTCCCCTTCTCCATAAGGTTCACATCGTCTGTGCCCATGGCTCACTATATCCGCTGGTTTGCGGTCTTTGCCACAGTCCCTTCACCCTTCAAGGACTAGCAGATCCTCGCTGCAGAGCGAGGGCAGTTGAAGTAATGCGCGAGGCCACAGAGAAGGTGGATCCAGAAATTCGTGATTGCCTCGTCTCCAACGGCTACCTCGCTGACATCGACATCTGCAGCAGTTTGCCAGAAATCCAATTAGATGCCAAAGTTTCCACATTCTTCCAGAGTATAAATGTTGGACTGGCGCGTGCCATTGCAGTCGAGGAGATGAAAGAAGTTCGCTCTGCGATTCTTGCAGGTTATGGAGCTATGCAAATTCCGGCAGCATTCCTTCTTGAGGCTGTGCAAGCTCATGAACGTCAGCATGTTGAGCAGATCCGAGAGAGGCATTTTGGAATGGCGGCCTTCTCAGGCGTGCCAGAGTGCGGGGTCAAGAAGCAGAAGATTTCTGCGATGCTCTATGACTTCTCTAAAAAGTATGGAAAAATTGTGAACTGGAGGATACACAGCGAATGCGAGGTGTTGAATAAGCTTCTGCACATGAAAATTGACAGGCCACTTTTGGTGAGAGTTTGTTTGAATTTCTCACTTTCCTACGTAAATCTTTGCTGCTCCTCGACACAAAGGCATACACATTTTCTGTCTTTGACAAATCGGATCAGCCAGACAGCAGAAAGTATGAAGATCTCCGATTTATTCCATGTTTGTCTCTGCGACTCCGAAAACATTGAAGACTTAGCATATTGCTTAGGCGTTATCAGTGGCTTTGCTTTATTGTCTATACGCACAAAAACCATAGGGACGACTTTTTGATGGACAAAGAAATCAAATTTACTTCGAATGCTGTTGTAGAACCATCTCAACAGCCAATGGGGCGTACAACACGACTCGAAATTGCACTCGATTGAAAGGACTCCGACGGCCAACGTCTTGACACCAGAGCTGTTGGCCTATTTTAAAGAACTCTCAGCGAAGACTGCCATTGAAGAAGAATAGTAATAGTTTTTCTGGTTTTCAACATTTATACAAACAAATCCTGTCGATTATATATGGCGTTTATTAAAATAAAGTAAAATTGATTACAATGAACTGCACAAACGAAAAATGTACCGTTGCCTATATCCGGCTGGCAGTTTAAAAGCATTTAAAGACATTTGAATAACCAGTAATAATGGCATGGCCTTTGCATCGATTCACAGGGATTTTACTCTTCGCTGAAACTTTATACCGACTGTAGCATC